AGGGGGGGGGACGGAGGGAGAGAGGGAGGGGTGGGATGGGCGGGTACGGGTGGGGCGTACTTGTGATGATACTGTGTGTGTGTGTGTGTAGGGAGGAGTGTGGCTGTGGTTACAAGAGTTGTGGTTGAGCTTGTGTCGCTACCGCTGCCTGCGTTAATGAGTTCCGAGGGAGGTGGCAGTCGGCGCTGCCGCGTTGTGGGCGTTGGCCGCAATACGGTTATGTGGGCTTGCAGAAGAATCCGTCGAGGGTGGCCTTGGCTTTGCGCTCGTGCATGGCGGCATGAGCGGCGACGTCAGCTACGGCGACCGCGCGTTTGCAGTCTGGGCAGCGGATGGGCCCAATGGAGCGATCGCGAGGGTCAGCGCTGGACTTGGTGGCGGGGTCGGAGGCAAGGGCGGGGGCGGGGGCGAGGGCCAGTTCGGGCGCGGGACGGGACGGGAGGTGCGCTGCAAACGATGTGAGGAGGCGCGGGCGGGATCGCAGCGGCGGCGAGTGGGCAAGCGGCTTTGGAACTGCGGCAGCGCCTGCTTTTGCTCGCGGTGGTGAGCACGGCGCCGCAGGTGGAGGCAGTAGCCGGGCTTGCCCCTTGAAATGGACGGCCTTGGCGCGCACGGATGGAGCCGGCGGCTCGGCGCTTGGCATTGGTGGTGCGAGAAATGATGTGAGCGCCCGGCTTGGCGTCGCAGAGAGCGGCTCAAAGTCGAGGACGGTGAGGCCGAGGAGGGTGAGGGCAAACGAGCCAGAGCCGATGGCGCGCTTGACGAGCTTGACACCGTGGCGAGCGATGACGGCGGCGTAGACCTCAAGCGCAGACGAGGCGCCCGTCAGCGGGCTGCCGTTGTCGTCACGCACTGGAAACGTGTACATGGCGCCGAGCTCGGTCGGCAGCGCGCTCGTCTTGGATGCGCTTCGCCGGGTGCCCGCGGACCGGAACGAGACCCGCATCTTGCAGGCGCGGCGGGAGAAGGCTGCAGCGTCAGCCACCATCCGCGCTGCGAGATCGCCGGCAAGCAGATGCAGGCGTGTCGAGACGTTGGCCCAGTCGGAGCACCCGCGAAATGAGTCCTCGACCGACATCGACTTGGGCCGCGGCACGCCGTTTCCGCCCCCGCCGCCATCGCCGGCAACGGTGTCGACGACCGGGTCGTTGTCGACGCCGCGCGCCACTTGGTACAGCCACCGTGCCTTGGCCTCGCCAAAAAACCGCGCTAGAAACGCTGCGTCAAACTTGCGCAGCTCGGCCACGGTCTCGACTGAGAGTTCGGAGCGGAGCATCTTGCGGGTGGCGTACCCAATGCCGGTCACGGCTGCACCCGACATGCACCGAGACAGTGAACCAGGGCGGCGTCGCCCATGGCCGACAGCTGCGCCGGCTTGTGCGCCTGCGATGCAAGCTTGGCCGCGAGCTTGGAGCTGCCCACGCCGCCCGAGGTAGTGAAGCCGGTCGCGGCCTTGATGTCCGCCCGCGCCATCGCCAGCACCGCCGCAGCCAGCGCCAGCGACCGATCGCAAGACTCAAGCGCGACCCATCCACACCCTCCAGGCCCCGGTCCCAGGACATGGACGGCCTCGACGGCAGCACCGGCTGCCAGCACTGATGTCGCCACCTGCGGCGCGGCCTCGAGGCCGGCAACCACGCTTGAGAGATCCATGTACAGCTCGTCGAGGACAAGCTTCTCGACCGGCACGCGGGCGAGACCAAGCCGCGCAGCCACGCTGTCGAGCGCAGTCCGCAGTGCGGCGCAGATCGCAGCAGATGCCTCTCGATAGCGGGTCAGATCCTCCCCGTTGACAACGTGGAGCGTGGGGCAGATGCGCAGCGCATCGGCGACCTTGGACATCTTGGCCACGCCCATGCTCCGCGCCACATAGTTGCACGTCACCAGCAAATACTTTTGCTTGACGCCTACCGGCTTGCCGACGAGCGCCGGGTCGGCGATCTCCTCGCTCTGCGCGTAGAAGCAGTCGACGTCGAGATGCGCCACAAGCCGCCGCCGCCCGAGCCCCCGGGCCCGCTTCCCCGCCCGAGCCGCCACCACTGCCTCGGCCACTGCCGGCCTCTTTCGTCCTTGAGAGCCGAGAGAGGCAGCCATAGCGTGATGGTGTGTGGTGTGTGGGTAAGAGTGGTGTATGTGTGTGTGTGGGGTGGGGGGGGGTAGGGTGGTGGGTGGGGGTGGGGTGTGGGTGGCGCCTGTAGGG